TCCCGGGGCGGTTGCGCCCCCGGTTCGCTGCTCCCGCCGGATCAGCGGTTCCGCGCCTGATCTAACCCCCAGCCGGCACGTGCGGGTGATGGTTTCTTTAGTCCTTCACCAAATACAGCATTTTGCGTGGCGCAATCAGCGACCAGGGCCTGGCCCCTTCCCGGGATGGGCCCCTGTGATCCCCGGGGTTCCGTTTTTCTTGTTTCCGTGATGGAGCGTTGCCACCGGTAACGAACTGGTTTGCTCCTAGAACGAGGCTCGCAAGCTGAATCACCAGGAAGTGGTGGAAGAAGATAAAAGACTTAAATTGCCAGCAAACTGGGAAGCCAAAAAAGCTCGGCTGGAGTGGGAGCTGAAGGTGGAGGAAAAGAAGAAGGTAAACGCACAGTTACAGCTTCCTGAAACCTGCTGAGCCTCAGTCCAGGCACCCACAGCGACGCTGAGCCCCCCTTTGGGGTGGCTGGACAATCTTGGGAGCCTAAACAGACATTATCCCCCCCAAATCCATCTCCTAATTAGACTCCTGATTATCTAAATTACCGTCCTGCTCTAGAGGTTGATGGGACTGAGCTAGGCAGCTCAAAGTTTGATGCCTGGCCGCTACCTTATCGTTAACGCTGGCGTGTTCTTTGTGCCCTGTTAGGAATGCGCGGCAAGAGGAGAAGACTACGAGCGAGTTAAACTGCTGGAGATCAGTGCTGAGGATGCCGAGAGATGGGAAAGGAAAAAGAAGAGGAAAAATCCAGATCTAGGATTTTCAGGTAATGGCTTCGCTACGCAGTTGTCTGTGTTCGTAACAAACGCCTTTGCTGGGGGGTTGCGAAATGAAACCCTTGACCTTACACCAGTTCATTTTCTTCCCAAGATTACGCGGCTGCTCAGCTGCGCCAGTACCAGAGGTTAACCCGGCAGATCAAACCCGACCTGGAGCAGTACGAGAGGCTGAAGGAGCAGTAGTAAGTTCTGACTTCAGCCATCTGATAGTGCCAGCAGCATTTACATCATTAGCAAACATTAAAGACTTAAACCTGCACACGCACCTTCTCATACACACTGCAATATTAATTAGTCTTAGCGTGGCCTGATGGTCTGTTCCACAATCCCTGCTTCAGTCGGCACGAGCAGTAGTGATGTAACTGTTGAGGTTCACTTCAAACTTGGCATTACTGCGTTTGAAGAAGCATTTAGTCAATTAGATTATATTTAAACGTGTACGTAGATGATCTTGTTGGTCAGGGTAGGTGCTGGCTTTAAGAAGCCTGGCATGGTGCGAGAACAGGTGAGGACTCACCGAGTTTGCACTCAGACGGCTTTAGAATTTCGGTGGGTTTCTGTATCCTCCATAGGCACGTGCTAGTGCCTCTCGCAATGACTGAGAGCTCGTTTTTAGCATCAACTTGTTCTCACTTGAATCTGGGACGGGGGTTCAAGTGCCTTAAAGCGTTGCGGTAAGAATCGAGCAGAAGCAGCGAAATCCCAAAGTGATCGATAGTTGTGTAAACCGCTGCCCGTCTGTTCCTCTTGTCCAGTGGTGAAGCGCTTTATCCCACATCCAACAGTCTTCTCCACGGAACTCACGTGCCGTCTAAGGAAGGGGTTGACAGGATGGTTGCAGATCTTGAGAAACAGTAAGTAAATACTAAGACAAAGCAAAGCAGCGCGTGACCAAGAGGAGCTGCGTGTAAGCAGATCCGCAGGATTCACCCTCAGCTCTTCCAACGCTGCCATGTTTCTCTTACAGAATTGAGAAGCGTGAAAAATACAGTCGGCGCCGTCCTTACAACGACGACGCGGACATTGACTACATCAACGAGAGAAACGCCAAGTTCAACAAGAAGGCGGAGAGGTTCTACAGGAAGTACACGGCCGAGATCAAACAGAACTTGGAGAGGGGAACGGCCGTCTGAACTGCCGGCTCAGGCAGCACACGTACAACAGCCCTGGTAAAGCCTGGTGTAGAGATTCCGTGGGCAAGTCAGAGTTGTATCAGAAAAATATATTGTAGAACTAAGTACTTCATAAAATCAACAATATATAGAAGTAATTTGCCTAACAACTTCAGCTGTATATAGCTTTTACTTTCAGAAGTGACCAGTTTGTGGAGTTTTATGCTTTAAATAAACACAAGCTCTTACTGATTTAGAGTAAAGCTCGTCTTCATTCTTCAGGAGCAGGTAAAGTCCCTGAAAACAGCATTTAGCAAGAATTGAGGCAGGTGTATGACCCTTCTGGGAAAGAGAAGCCCCCCCCCCCCCAGCTGCCATGTGCCTGAGGCACCACCATCCCACCGCCCAGGCAGCTCCTCACCCCACAACAGGGACTATCTCAAGCATCAACTTCTGTTAAAGCATTAACTTTTCTTAAAGAAGCTTCCAAACCAGAGGAGTCAAAGTTAGTTTATTTACTATTTATTTTTACAAAACATGAGTCGAACCGATTGCTCCCAAAACCACGCAGCAGCCTGTTGACTTTTCTTCACAAAGAGGGGTGAGCCCCGGAGCCAGGCGTGCCGCGCTGCTGCCTTCCGGAGCTCTGAGCAGTCCCAGCCTCCTCCACTAACTCCACAGTTCACTCACTGCCTCCCACAGCCAGCCTCCAAAGGCCGGTTTTAAAGCGACCTAAACCAAACCACCAGCCGGCCCTAAGTCCAGTTCAGCAGTAAAGCCAGCGGGAGCAAAGCCGCTCGAGCACAGCGCTTCCACCAGTGACAACGGCGATGGCGTCACACGGGGCAGTGGGGTACACATCCAACATGGGCTTCCCGGGGCAGTTGTTCTGGAGGCCCTGAACTGGGCCCAGCCTGGACAGGAGCGGTTCCAGGGTAAAGGTGCACTTTCAGAGTGACACGGAAATTACTTTCTCTGTGGTGACAGCAGGGCAAGAGGAAGGTGAACCTGGCAATAACCACTTGCAGGACACGGCCGACTTACTACCCAACACAGGTCTAACACTTGACACGCTGAGAAGCCAGTGCAAAACTAAAGTTTATTTACTTGAAGTAAACAGTTACACAATGTAAATCAAGTGTTCAAAATAACAGCTACTGAACTATGGTTTAGAAAAAGTTACCCACCTGTAAGTTCTAGTCCATTAAAGCAATACAAAATATTTACAAATATACACAAGATTCCCACCTGTGGCTTCTGGATCACTGTGCTCTGTATCTGAAAGAGAAACCTAAGATTCCAAAATTAAGATCTCAAAATAAATACTCCATATTAACAAGTCTTCAACCTGATCAGAAAATTGCAGATCTCACTATTGAAGTGTGCATAATGCTGCAGTCAGGAGGCAGTAAAGAAAAAACAAGCTAGCGTGCCCGGAACGGAGCACTTTTAGGTGAGAAGTTTAAAAATGTTTTCTTCTCCTCCTTCTTGACAGGCACCCACTGCCCATAGGGACTTCCCTTCCTCTCATCTTCTCTTCCCAGAGAAACTGCCGGTTCTTTAACAACATGGCTCGCTGGCTTCTGTAGTACTGGTTTTGCCATTGTATTCTGGAAAAAGAAACGGCTTTTAGAAACGCTGGATCAACAAGGGATGTACTGAGGCCCGTCAGCCTCAAGGTGTTGATCTGTACTGGTACGAGATGTTCTCATACACGTCACTGACACAGCATTCAGGGAAGGTGCTTTTCCTTAGCTCTGCATTATTAAAATATATCCAAACAGGCACTTGAAGTAAGTTCTAGCGTAAACCAGTTTTGGCAGACTTTTTCGAGTCTGCAGTACCGATGTTCAACAGTATCAGAGGAGTTGAAACATCAGCATCTATTTTAAAGACACTGCTGTAGCGTGTTTACAGTCCTCTACTGCTAAAGGACTGCTCTAACTCCGCTAGGAAAGTAATTACTAAGCCATTACATTCAACTTGTCACTATTAGTAAGATCTTTCCTCTCACAACCAATGCTGGGGAAAGCCTTACACAGGAGGGATGAGGTACAGGACTTCCATCCTGGGAAACCACACTTACGTTAGGACTGAAAGAAATGCTTCTCTGGATGGTTGCTCTCTCCATTCCACTCTTGGCGTCTTCTGCCAGGCTTCTGGGTTGCTAGAGAAGAGCAGACAGGGCTTAAGTGGGAGAACACATGATTCCATGCAAGTTATGGCAGTTACTAGAGAGTATGAACTTTCTGGTAGAGCTCTTTCAGGTATTTACATCAAAAGTAGCTGTAAGCTACTAAATACGCCAACAGATCAATGTTGAAGTCAATTTGGAAAGCATTCAGCATTTCTATCAATGTCACTGTGCCAATTCACATGTGACCTGATCTCCATGCCCCAGTTACAGACTTAAAAGGATTCAAATGATCCAAAAGCATGGACTGACAGACAATGACGTGTCATGATACAGTAAGGTGCATTCAATTCGGCATATCCATCCTGCACAGCTTTGGATAATGACAATAAACTTATCTGCAAGTGATGCAGGCCTCTTCTTCTGTACTCTCTCAACATCTGGAATATATTGCATATATTGTGAAAGGGATGCCTGTACCATTTGTCTAAAACCCTCAGTAAATTTACTTCCATTTGAAACAGCAGTAGCTGATCGATGTAACAGTTACCGCAGTTTTGTATTTACCACGAATCAGGTTAACACACCGTAACAGAGCCAAACTAAAATTCAAATTCAGTTTAAGCGGCTCAAGTTTCTCCCTCCCTTAAATGCACAGCAGCTATAGCCCACAAGTCCCTTAATTACCAACAGATTTTCTTCATCATGTCTGGAACCATAGTCATGATTTCTATAAGACAGAAATAAAGTATGTAAAATGCATTGTGTGCTTGGGTATGTAAGTTCTGGGAAACAGTTTGTTGTACATGAAAAGCTTTTAACAGTTAAAAGGGTAGAAAGATTTAATCTTTTAAAAAAAATCCACACTATTTGCTAGGTTTGGTAAGGAGACTCCTTGTTTTAGGTCAAAACCACAAAAACTAGTCCAAGTAATGGGCAATACCCCATGAGAAGAACAACTCAAAAGAACAAACTACATTCACCTCTCCTTCCCAACCTACCACTGCTGGAAAACCTGCGTGTACTCATGGATCAACCACCTCTTCGGAGTCCAGAGTACGTGCAGCTTAATGCAAAGTCTACAGTGGTTTCTACAGTAGTTTTTAGCGTTCTGGTAAATCTGAAGTTTTTGTTCAAGGGTTTGAATTCATAATCACAAAGTCCACAGTTAAAAAGCTCTAATGCAGCCATGCAGGTGACAAATTTTAAAAAGCATTTACCTTTTCCTTGAGAGTACTCCAGTTCATACTTACCTCAGCTGACTCTCCAGGATCTTCACGCTCTTGTTTTTCATTTTTGATCTCTTTGGAAGGAGTAAGGATCTTCAAGCTTGCTGGCAAGACTATGTTATCTGTTCCCAGAGCTTTTGCAGCATTAGCTTTTGCAATTTCCAGGAGCTCCCTCTTGTCTACAAGAGGAAAAAAACCTGTCACTCTTTACATTTAAATCAACACATACCTACTCATGCAAACCTAAAAACTGCAGCTTTACTATCACTGCACCTACATAAGCATCAACTCTGATGGATTTGCATCAGAACTTGGGAGATTTAGCTTCAGCTGAATTGCAAAGAGTATGCTCTGAACTACCTTTTAAAATACGTTTTTATAACCACACATAAATTTTCTTCCGTACTGGCATTATCAGTTATGCTCTATAAAGCAAGGAAGCAGATGAGAATTTGACTGGTTAAAATAAATATAAATTGTGTGTTCTGATGTCCTCACACAACAAGTCTCAAAAAAAAAAAAAAAAAAAAAAAAGAGTACCTTTTTCACTCAAATGGAGAGGTGACCTGCTCCGAGATCTTGTCCGCGACCTGCTTCTCCAGCTCCTGTAAGCCTCAGGATATACTGTGCGCCCAAATCCATAATACCTTCGGCCTCTTGAACGTGACCTGCTTCTCGAATAGGACCTTCTATAGTACGATCTTCCACGAGACCACGACCTACTGCGTGATCTGTACCTCGGAGGAGAGCGGTGGTACCTCCTGTAGTGTCTGGCATGGTACCGTCCTCGGTACCTCATGTAGCCACGGGATCTCGAACGACTTCTGGAATATGAACGTGAGTATCTTCTGTACCTTCGGGAACCGTTCCTTCTAGCCCAGGACCTTGATCGTGATCTGGAACGGCTCCAGCTTCTGGAGGAAGCTGAAGAGGAACTACTTGAACTGGACCGTGAACTGCAAGAGGATCTGCTAGATGACCTTGTTGATGACCTGTCGTAACTTCTCTTGGATCTCAAAGGAGATTCTCTTTTCTTCGGTGAGCTGAGGGTTAAGTCATCCATGAAGCCTGTCATATCATCAGTTTTCCTGACCACCGTTTTCTCCGTGCAGGTACTTTCAGAAGCTGGTTCTGTTTTTATGGTTGTTCTGTAATACCCGGTCTCTGTTCCTGTTGTGGGTGGGGAGGGGGAAGTTAATCATTTACGTGCATCAAGTCATTGTCACAGCAACAACAAACACTATGACACACAGGCAAAAAGTTCAAAGATAAATTAAACACACCAACAATTCTCATCCAGTTTATCAGCATGTTTTGCACATGACAATTTTAACGTTTCATCATTTCCTCTCCTGTGGTCAGTCTTCTACACAAAATAAAAAAAAGCTTCAGTTTCAACCATCAGTAGTTCTGCGGGGAATTTTGAAGGGAGGTTTCTTTGTGTTTGAAGTTTAATACCCTTTGTTTGCTAGGTAAGCACACACCTTTTGTGAAAAGGAGATGAGTTAATACCTTTTTTCCACCCTCCAAAAAGAATTTTCAAGGTATTTTATCTTCAATCTATTTTAAATGCAGCCTTTTGTATCTACAATGCAAAATAACTATTTGCCTTCCAGACTAGTACAAACTGAGTGTTTCTTTTGCAGGTCTATGGAGGTTAAGATTAACTGTTATCCTCCAACAGGAGAAAAAAAAAAAAAAAAGTACCTTCAAGGTACAAAGCAGCTGCTTCAAGATTTTGACCGTATTGCATTACAAAACTATCTGCACAAAACTCCACACATCCCAGCAGCGTATGTAGCAGGCTGCTACTAAAAACATTCTACATAACTAGTGAAAAACACAGCTAATGATTCACTGGATGTGGCTCGTAAAGGATGTAACACTTGTTACGTTTCTATATTAATAATTAAAATGGCTGTCCCTCTTGTGGCAGCCATTTTATATCTACAAAGGTTACTGTATTCTAGGGTGTAAATACCTCATCTCCATTGCTTAAGCCCCAAATTATGTCACCGCTTTACAGTCTAAGGAAGCTTGCTTCACCACAAAGTTTCTATTCAGTGCTCGTTGTAAACCGAAATTACCAAATAGATCTCAAAACCGTACTGAAATCGATTAAGAGTACTAACTTCTACACGAGTTTGTAAGAAGCATTCCCCTTGCTGCTACTGAAGCTCAAGTTTCACTACATCACCTCTAAATACAGGCCAAGGTCACAAACGCTATACAAAGCACAGCTAAGAGCAAACAACTGATTAACTCTGATCTCAAACACCGCCCCTCCTCCCATCGCTAAGCTACCTAGACTTCACTGTTTATCCAACAGCGCACGTACTGGGCACATCTCACGTATTCTCACACGACTGGCCCGCACCCCGCGGACGGGTCCCCTCCGCCCTCACGTTAAAGGGCTCAATTAAGGAACGCCATTTCGCGCCAGAGGCTGTTCAATGGCACTTACCGCTGGGAGCCGCCGGACACCCACGGTGCTGGTTCCCATGAGACACC